GCTTCTGGTCTAACCCTAATCTTTCAGGTTGTTTGGGGAGGGATAAAATTGGAAGGAGAAATGAAGAGGAAGAGAAGTTTCAACAATGAGAAAGTATGTATTATTTATGGAAATATCCGAAATATTTTTTAACATTTTAATTAAGTCCTAAATCCTGACTGATTGGATTCTATGCATGTTTTCAAATATAGTGGACATATTCTGTGGCTGATTTAACTGGTTTTATTTTTCATTTTAATTTCATTGGCATTTTGAAAATATAATTTTGTTATTTTTTGAATGGAAGTAAAGTAGTAAACAATTTGTTAGCTTTAAACTTTTTAAGGTATTAGATTTATGATATAAATGTTGTTTGGTATGCTACACAATATTAAAATTTAGTAGATATTTTATTAACTTTTTTACAAAACGATTATGTGATTTTGTATTTACTTTATTTAAATAAAAATTATGTGTCTAACTATATATGCAATATATACCTTAGATTTAAATTTTGGAAAAAACATTATTAGTAGAAATAAATATGAATGTAAATATAAATTATAAAAAATAGACAGAAAAATATAGAATATTCAATACTAATTTCCATTTTCAATATAAAGAAATAAAATATAAATTAACTATAGTTGAGAAAGTTGTCCAAAACCATGAGGGATGTTTTTGGAAATTGAACAAAAACTCCGGGATTCTATTACGAATATTTCCAACCTCTTTATGTTGTTACATATTTTCCACTTTATTTTCTTTCAGCTTTTGTGTTGGTTTTCCCTTTTTAAATAGTTTAAGGCATTAGGATTTGTGGTTTTTAAACGCATAAGGGAAAAATCCAACGAGATGGTGATTGGGTCCCACAGACCGGTAAATAAATGCATCACCACCGTCAATTTATGGCCTTAGTACGCTCCTCGGGAATTTTACTTCCAATCATTTCATGATTGGTTTTTATTCAAGGGTTTTCTTTTAATTTTTGAATTCATATTCAAATAAAGAATTTAATTTTTAATCATGTCATTATTAAAAAAATAAGACACAATAATATAATTATTCTTGATATTTGTATAAATGATTACGGCATAATGACAAAATTATTCTCTAACGTCTGATAAAATACTCATTTTGATTCTTTTTTTTTAAACATTTTGATTCAAACGTTTTATTTTAAAATAAAATATTTACGGTCAGATGAAAAAAGTCAACATTACTTGTTAACTATAATACTGAGATGACATGTCTAGTATGATGTTACGACAGTAAAAATATTTTTAAAAATAACTATAAATAATTATTTTTTATTAAACTAGTAATAACCAACCAAATGTTATGATATTAAATATGACACCAACTTATCCCAGTAATTAAATGTATCTTTGTTATTCCTAGTGGTGATGGGTTTAAACACTCGTGACTGCAAATATGATCAAGCTTTCATTATTAAATGATTGAGAATACACACAACTTTATAATAACCTTTAGTTTCATAAAAAAATATGACACCATTTGATTGAATTAAAAGGAAGGATTGCGATACTCCAAATAATATAATTGCCATGGAATTTAAACCTAGGCCTAATGGATGAATTCTTTCACATATAACCATCAAGCCAACTAGTTAGCTTGGTAAGTAATTTATAAACAACATATTTAGAACAAGATGTAATTATAATTAATTATATAAAAGTAATTCAATCTTCATGTTATAAATTTAAATACAAATTAAATTAAACTACATAATTAATATATTTTCATAAATATATATAATTAATTATGATTATATTTTATTCTAAATATGTTGAAATATCAAGAATGTAGCAAGTTAACTAGTTAGCCTGGTGGTTAGTTGTGAAGCTTTTCATTCCTTAGATCTTAGTTCTAATCCCATATTAGTTGGTGTAGTGTGAACCTTTTCTTTTAATCCAATTAGTGGTGCCACATGGCAACATATAATTAATTACTTTAATTTAATAAAAAATAACTATTTATAATTAAGTAATATAATAGAAATATTTTTATTGACGTGACATCATATAAGGAATACCACGTCAATATTTCAATCCACATAAAATTTATACAGTTAGTAAGAAGCATTGAATGCTACTCAACTAACGATTTTCATCTAACCAAATGTAGCTTGCCTCAAAATAAAACATTAGGGATCAAAGTGTTTCAAAAGAAAAAATAGGGGTCAAAATGAATACTTTATAAATCGTTAGGGAGTGATTTTGTCATTATACCATGATTATTTTATCTAATATTTTTTTAATATTATATCTTAACATTTTTTTATCAAAATATTTCATGTTGGATGAAAATCGTTAATTGACTAATACTTAACACATTATTGACATGATATTTTTATATGTGTTCGATTATTGAAGTAACATATATCATTTCATCATTTTAAATGATATATTTATATATTATATCATCATTTTGAATGATGTATTCATATTACGTCATCACTTCAGATGGTGTGACATATATCATGTTATTATTTTATGTTATGTGAGATATATTATATTATTATTTTGAGTGATGTGACATATATTACATTAATATTTTGTGTGTTGTGTTATATGTTACACGACATATATAATGTCAGTAATTAATTACATATAAAACATTATATTAATAGTATATGTTAACCGTTAATCAGCAAATAATTTTCATATATCACGTAAATTATTTTAATAAAAATTTAAACATTAGAGAGTAAAATAATAGAAAATAGAATAAAGCCTAAAATGATCAATTATATAAATTTAAGGAGTAATTGTGTTATTATGCCATAGAAGATTATGTGCTAGGTTGGAGTATATGTTTCTCAAACGAGTGCTATGACTTATCGGAAGTCTCACATGCAGCAATTTAATATACGGTTAAGTAAAGGCATTACCGGAAATGTTATTATTTTTTTAATATTTTGGTAAAAAATTACCTAAAACATTATTATTTTGACCAGAAATGTTATTATTAGGCGTTTTACCGGGTTTGTTAACATATCTGATAAAACACTATCTAAAATATTATTTTTTTTCTATCGAAAATATTAATATTACACACTTTCCAGGAAATGTTAAAAATATTAATGTTTTAAGTAAAAGAAATAATTTTTTAGATAATTTTTTTACAGAAAATATTAAAAAATAATAATATTTTCAGTAACATATATTTTTAACCGTATATTAAAATTATCGTACGACAAAACTTCTCCGTTAGATAAATCAAAAGAGAAAATAAAGAGAAAAATCAAAGGCAATCCCTCAAGTGACGATTTGTTTTACTTTAATAGTATAATAAATACTTTAAGCTTTATTTAGATATCTCACGTGGCATGATAAAGCATTCGACGTGGGCCCGTCACATTTCCCTCTTTATTATACGTTTTTATAGGATAAACTAAATATTTAATACTTAATTTATGAATTTTATTTTGTTTTAGTATTTACGTTTTTATTTATTTCAAATACATACTTAATATTTACTTTGTATTTCATTTTAGTACCCACCGTTAAAAAATTAATAAAACTGTCACACGTGATACTTTTTAAGGGTATATTACATAATTGTTTCACTTAACTATTTTCTCACTTCTATTTTGGTCACTAAAGGTTAAAAATTTTCAATTTAACTACTCAACTTTCAAATTATTCATATTTTAACCACTCTAATTTATATTATTAATAACTTTTATGACATGAAGTTTATTATTATTATTTCATTAATATATAATTAAAACAAACATATTAAGTTTGAAAGTTAAGTATTTAAATTAAAAAAAATTAAGCTTCAGTGACCAAAATAAGAGTGAGAAGATAGTTGAGTGATGAATGATGTAATTTACTCATAAAAATGCATGTAACATTTCCACTAAATTTTTTATGACGAAGTACCAAAATAAAACAAAAAGTAAATGTTAGATATGATTTTGAAACAAATGAAAGTTTAGGTACTAAAACAAAATAAAATTGATAGTTTAGGTACTAAACTATAGTTTTCCCTTTTATTGCCTTTATTTTTAAGGGTAAACTACACGTTTAATATCCTAACTATCACTTTTGTTCATTTTGGTCATCCAACTATTTTTTTTCAAAAACATGCCTAATGTTTAGTTTTGGTTTCGTTTTGGTCACTTACCGATAAAAAATTAACGACGCTATTGACATGTCATCATAAAATAATACCACATCATCATTGAATAAAATAATAAAAATATCATATCAATAATTATGTTAATTTTTAAACGGTAGATGACAAATGAAACTAAAACATAACATTAAGTATAATTTAAAAAAATAGTTTAATGATTAAAACGAAACAAAAAATAATAGTTAAAACATATACCGGAAAAGTTCCCATGGAAATATATTTGATTTAAAGTAAAACTGAAAATATACAGAGTTAAGTTAACGAAACTTGGAACTTAGTACTGTTTTTAAAAGTCAAATATTGATTTAAACAAATATGTTAAATATATATATATATATATATATATATATATATATATATAATAATTTTGATGTTAATATAAAATATTATCTGTTCAAAATCTCTCAATCTTTTAATAAATAAGGTTTATACCTTTATATTTACATATGTGATGTTTGAACTCGAGACTTCAAGAAAAAACAACAAATTTCTTATCACTGAAGTTATTTGGTTCGTGCTATCAAAAATGCGTTTGAATAATATGAACATAATCTTATGCAACAAATATTAAACATTGGTATTAAATGAAAGAGAAAAAAAACACAAAAATGGCTGAAATCAATGCATCAGATTTATTGACTTAAACCAAACTGATAGCCTCATCTCTTATTCCATGACCTATTTCAATGAGATCTCCAGGTTTCATCTCTGCTGCATCACCAATCCGCAAAACATACAGAGCTGCAACAACAGTTTCCAATCCTTATTCAAGGTTTTATGCTGCCATTTCCGAGACCGATATCGTCGTCGACGCAGACTGCGACTTGTTTCTCAGTTTTCGTGTACAATTGCCGTTATTCGTTTATTAATATAAATAGAGATAATTGGTGGCTTGGCTTGAGATTATTGCCTTATCCAAACCTGATAATCCGATTTTTTATCAATGAACTTTTGCCAACTACCATCCAGCTGATTCTCCTTTGAAGGATTCCAATTGAAATGTCCTAGTTTTATCACTAGGGTATCACCAACCCGAGCTACATACCCTTCGTTATTGGCATGGTATATCTTGACAGAACTTCGGCAGTGGATCCCGGCTCGTCTTCGAGCTTCTATTAATTCCGTCAAGACATCGCGCATGCTGAATTCATACAAGTGGTCATAAAATAATACAGGCTGCAACATATTGAAAGAAATGCATTAGAAGTATGCATTCAGCCATGTCCATCCTTGAAATTTCTGTTCATGTGTCTGTGAGACTGTGTCTAGAATCATATGGCAGTTTTGATGACAGGTAACTTACAGTTCCGGGATGCGTCAAAATGTAAGCATATCCCTGTGCAAGCTTATCACGGGGAAAGGGCCAGTGACCCTAAAATAAAACCCAAAACAGTTAGTGATTTGCCACTGCCGATAGGTTAAACATAACTGAGTGGAATGTGGACATTATTAACCGATATCATAATTAACAAATCGGAAAATTCAATACTTTCATGCATTAGAATTTACAAATCTCAGAGGTTATTGCCTGATATAAGCCCTTATTATATAGCCATCACCAACTTGGGACAAAGGAGAGGAGTCAGAGATCACAAGTTCATGTGAACTGAGACTTGCAGAAAAAATATTTTCCGAAAATCACACTCGAGACGAAGTTAAGACATATAACAACATAAGTTTCATCGTGATCGCAAAGCGCTACATTCAATCTTAATGTTCCTTTGAGAAATTAGTTATGCACTAAACTGGACTACAGAGGAGACTTTAGACCTCAAAGTGATACATGAAAGCTGCTGAACCTTACAAGTTTCTTTTAGCACCGCTAGAAGTACGCCTAGTATGATATTTGTGTAATGTGTATTTACGTATGAATGTATGCACGTCCGTGAACGATATAGGGAGTACCTGGGTGGATCCAGTATCATGGTTCTCTAGAAATGTGCAAGCGCGTGAAGGCCACCATCCCATTACTCCTGTTGGTTTTCCTTGAGGATCTATCAGTCTCCAATATTGGCCATGTAAAGCGGAGTGGAGTATCCCCTGCAATGGCAAATTATTTCAGCCTGCATTTGGAGAAACCGAGGAAGCATGCACCTATATGACAAAAAATTTTCCTCAAGGCTTATTGTGGACACATTATGGCCATCAGAAATACGAGGTTAGCCTATATTTCAGAAAAATGAATCGCAACGATTTCCGCAGTAGGAATTATAATGATAATGGAGTAATAGGCAAATGGAACCTTCTGAAGGAAAAAAGGGTCTTATAAGATGGTTTGTTTCCCGCGTATGGCCATGGACATTAACACTTGAAAAAAAATGCACCAAATATGTATACATCTTGAGACAATGGTGAAGCGAAAGGGAGGCAGCCAGGCAGAGGCCTTTCCCCCCTTGGCTTGTCCAAACACATAAAGTATTTTATTATTTTGATTGTCAAAAAGGGTCAAAAACTATTTAGGAATACCTTTGTCGTGACATCAAAAGCTGAGGAAGTACCGCCAGTGGCATTGATCCAGTTGACTATCCTTTGTCGATGAGCATCTATTCATGTAAACAAAGTCCCATATATCATTTTAGGGAATAGGGTAAATTCTATTCTATGACAAAAATATATAAATCAAGAGAAAAAGGAAACACATGGGACTTCAATCTAGTCACCAGAAAGACCAAGAGGCACAAAACATGAATGAGGGAAGCTTTCTGAATAAAAAATGGGGATTGTGTTGCAGATTGCACTATGTGTGAAGCCAATTAAACAAATTCGAATAATGAGTTCGGTAAACAAAGCCCTGTTGATTAAACAGCCAAAATATAAATCCTTTCTGCAATTAATATGATCATGTTGCAGATTGCACTAGCAATTAAACAAATTCGAATAATGAGTTTGGTAAACAAAGCCTTGTTGACTAAACAACCAAAATATAACTCCTTTCTCCAATGAATTGATCAGGTAGACATAAATTGAAGTGGAAAAGGTTCAGATATCATCACTTTGAGAGTTGACAATAACTTTTCAAAAGCGACCATATAAGATCTATTTCGATAAAATGCCAGACCAACCAAAGAAGTTTTAATTTTGAAAATAACCATTATAAGAAGATTATACAGGGTTTAGGCAAATGGAGTTTGCTATTGTCTCAAACAAAATCAGACTAAAAAAATCATTTTTCTTAGGTAAGACTAGATGATTACCTTGATTGTAAGACAAGTTACCATTTTCATAAGCCATACAGTCCCAATATTCTCCTATAGCAAATGCAGGATGTGATGCTTCTATATATTCTTTCACAAATGTACCAGAGAAGCCTCTGCAAACAATAGCAAACAAGTCACCAGTGCTGTTAGCTATTGCTTCTTCCATGGTATCTTCAAATGTTTTTCCTTCTTTTTCCACCTTTTTGGAGTCTAGTCAAATGAAAATTTTTATGTTTCTGATTGTCCTAATTTTAGACAAATCTTAGTGTTGCCGAAGTTGATCGTAGTCGTTATTCCAGAATTCACTATTGCATTTTGAGGTTGTTTTCCTAGTTTTAATTTTATGCACATAGAAACCTTTCTTGCACTACATTCACTTAAGTTCTGCTGAAGTGATTTCTCAGCTGTATTCTTGATTGATGGCTTACCAAGTAATTAAGGTAACTCTCATCCAAAAAGTCAGACTAATCACTGAAATTTCTTAATGCATTGCATGTATAAATGGTTTTTCTTTCTGGAATATGTAGATAAATACATACACACACACACACACACTAAGCTTGCATGGATAAATCAATGCAACCTTTATTAAAATATCAGGCTATCCGACATGTAAGGATAAAATGACAACAGAACACCTTTACCTCACAAAGTCGAGCCGCCAACCATCATAACCAATATCGTTACGGAGCCATTTCAACCATTCCTTTATATCTCTTCGCACGAAGTCCTGCGAATGATCAACGTTTGGAGCCGCATGGAAGATATCACCTAAACATAACACTTAATCAGTTAAGCTTAAACGAAGTCCTATTTTTAATCAACTTAATATTCAGAAATATAATGTCATCTGATTCAATCAATAACAATGGCTGATATAGTTTGTCAGAACTTTGTCAAAATGTCATTGCCATAGTTCACATATTTTAGACCAGTTCCTAGTAGCCACAAAAATTTTGATTAAACGAATAGGGATGGAAAAACACTCTGAACCCACCACCTTATCATATACATACCACTTGAAGGATTTCCACGCCCCTGGAAATTTGGATCATCACAAACAATAGCTTCAGGCCCCCAAGCAAGCTTGCCACCGAAAATATTCCAGACACCATTTGGACTCTGAAATGAGCAAAAATTCATTTAAATACATCCCTGCTATATACTTGTTAAAGTTCATGTCACATGTTCAGCCTTGCCGATAAGATCAGTAATGCCATAGAAGTTTATACTTCTGTATTAATGTCATTTGACTGCACAAAGAAAGATTAGCAGCAATTTTTTTCTCATTCATGGTAGTTAAGATTGTACACAATGGAAAATTAACCACCACAGAATAAAAATGGATTTGCAGTATTTTTTTCAAATAAGCAAAAGGACATGTGCAACAATATGTAACCAGACTCTCTTCAAAAATAATAATAAATAAATAAAGAATCCATGCCCACTCACTGTCAAAGGAACATGAAGTTAGATTTAGGTAAAATATACTTATTTCAGATTATTGATCACAGTTTGCAGTGCATGAAGAATTCCTCTTTGTTAGAGTGAATTTTACCTGTTTATGTGCGCATCGATGGTTAAGCACGACATCTCCTAATGCCTGCATACATAGGCAACACAATTTAAGTTTCAGCTCACCATACAAGTATCATATATGCAACTTCCAAGAAGAAAGATGAGGTTTCTTGGCCTTTCAGGAATATAAGATTAGCTCAAAAGTTAAAATGACACTAGTATCTGTTCCGAGCTCTTTCTTATTACCCACGAAGAATTTCTGCATAATGCACATAAATATATAGAGACATTGAACCAACAAAGAAAATGAAACTGTCTGAAGTAAGAAGAAAGGAGACCCAAACATTAACAACTAAAGCTTACTATTCATAAAAATTGCTCCACATACCAAAAGGTCCTGAGCATGCATTTCCTCTATGCAAGATTTCAGGTCATCAACAGATCCATATTTGGAGTTCAAGTTGTAAAGATCAGAAGGCATATAACCTGCATGTTATTACATATAACTTATAACAGTGTGCAAAACACAATATGAATGTCCACAACTTTTTGCAACTGCATACATGTTAATTCATGTGTGTAATACTAAACAAATAGTTGGAAGAAAAAAAAGTGCTCCTTAGGCTGATTTCTTAGGATTGCAACATTATCATAACATGACCATTACATTATCCTCCATTCCAGAATAACCACATGCATACACGGTACGTCATCTTGAACGTCAATTTACTCTATCAAAAAGTAATAGAATGGCTTAAATTTCAGATGAGCGGCGATTCTAGTGACAAATAAGATAATAGTAGATGAACAACTGAAACCGTTGAAGGTTTACCTTGGGGTGCTACAGATTCTGTTGGTGGTGGTAACCATACAGCAGTAATCCCTGTTTGAGATAAATCAGCAGCCTTGATAGCTAACTCCTCGTACCATTGCCTTCTCCAGCTTTCCCAATTGAAACCTTGGAACTTGAAGACCAACAAATAAAAGTTACTATGTAAACCAGATATAGGTCCAATACTAGCCAAATAAAATCATTTATTTTTCCAAACATGGTAGACATTTGACCAGGATAATATATTTATAGATATCTCTACTTCAAGTTAAATTCAAGAAGCTTCTGTTAGTCAGTGTCATGAAATATGAACAAAGAACAAGCATATCCAACCAACAACTCACCACAATTTCTCGTCCTGTTCCGGTTCCTGGCTCTGCATTGTGTTTCAAATTCTAATGCAAATTAGATATGAGCCTACTTCTCAAAATTGACAAAAGAATGATAAAAAGTAAAAATAAGAAAAATAAAGGAAAACTAACCGAATTTTGTTTCTTCTCGAGTCCGCTGCCATTGAACTGTTTTTCGTTGAAGTGCTCGTTCCAAAGTTTTCCTTTTCTTCTCTATTACTTCTTTTTCCATAACTTGTTCAACAAGAATATCACCTTCTCTAACCTTTTGTTCAGCAATAGACCAAACCTGATAAGGTTTGGGCAATTCCAAAGATTTAAACTTGGACCTTAAGGCTTTAGAAATGTCAGCCTTTCGAGGAGGAAACTTGGGACGGATACTCCATATCCTTCTTGCCATCCATGGAGGTATCTCCTTACGCGGACCACAACTCAGAAGTTTCCATTTCTGTGAATCATCATCAGTTAAAAGGTCTATCCTCCCACCATTAGAAACATAGACGTTATCTCTGTTTTCTTCCTTTTCTGATCTTTCCTTCAATAACAATGACTGTGCCATCTCTGCTCTTTGTCTCCACATCTTTAAAGCACTTTCTGATGTACTCAGTGACCTCTGTAAGGCTTCACACCTTTTCATGTAGGCATTTTCTCTTGAGTGCGTTGTTTCTTTGGCAGCATCAACAGCAGCCTTGATGCTTTGTAACTCGGCGTTAAAAGCCTCAGACAAAGCCTTCTTTCTTTCTTCTGCTTCTTTCTTTATTCTCTCCAATAAAGACCTAATATCCTCTTCCTGCTCAAGAGCCTTTTTCCTTCTCAAGTCTTGGAATTCAAGCAATGCCTTCTCGGCATTACTGGCTCGGAGTTCAGCTGCACTTGCTTGTTCTTGAGTCATTTGCAACTCCAGTTTCAAACTGTCGAACTCACTTTTTGAAACCAATAATTGAGCTTCTAAATCACTGACAGCACCTTGTAACTTAATGTTCTCTGATTGAACGGAAGCAATAGCATCAATGGGATTTATACCATCAGTAAATGCTGCAATAGCTTTCATAGCCTGCTCACTGGCGTTTTCTGCCACATCAAGTGCCTCTTTTATAGCATCTCTAGACTCCTCAATAATTGAGGATATAGTTCCTTCGGTTGATTTTCTTATTTGATCTTCTATTTGAAAAGCTGATTCAGCAGCCAATGTTTCTGCAGCTGAAACTCTCAGCTTGGCATCTTCTAATACGTGAGATGTGGTCTGTTGGAAAGCAATCTCTGCTAACTTTTCGACTTGTACCGCAAGTTCAACGGCGTCTTGTTTTGCAAGAACCAACTTAGATTCTAAGGCGGATTTCTCTTCCACTGACTCCTGCAGCTTCTGATGGAGCAGAGATTTCTCCGACTCCAGTTCCGAAACAACCAATTCCTTGTCATGCAAAATGGTAGCCGCATTTTCCTTCTGTTTAGCCTCCGAAGAAGCAAACTCTTCAAGCAATTGATCTCTTTCTTTTTCAAGGGCTTCTCCTCTGGCCTTAGCCTCAGAAAAAGCTCTTTTCGTCTCGGTTAACTTGTCTTTTTTCGTCTCTGATTTTTTATTTCTCCTTGACATAAAACCATCCTCATCATCGGTGAAAGTGTCATTGGAATTACCCTGCCATAGAAATCAAAATTTTTAGGATCCATTCCCCAACTTATCAGAAAAAGAACCAATGACAATAATCCAATATGCATCAGTAAACACACCCTATTTGAGGCAGCAATTATTCTCGGCCCGCACCGCCAATTTCCGGTAAGTAAATTCTTCCTGCAACAACAACATCATCATCTTCCATCAATGATTTGATAGCCACACCTTACCAAATAAGTATGGAGCTTGAACATGAAAAATAAAGAACCTTTTCCTGTTAGAAGAGCCTCCCAAGATTAAAGGAAACTGCCCACGTGGTCTGCCTAGGGAAACAACAGGGGACTGGGGAAGAAGCATCCCAGATGCTGAACTTGGCTTTAAAAAAGTACCCATATTTCTTTCTGTCAAGATAAAATCAAAACAAAAGCTTTAGCAACTTCTAGAACTGCACAAAACTAAAAGTAATTGCTTCTTGAACAAATCAATAAAGATCTCAAAATCAGCATAGACGAATAACAATATCTAGAACAACAAAAAAGTAAAAAAGAAAAAAAGAAAAAAAAAAGAGACAAAAGAGATAAATTAAATCCCATGTAGTAAACATTGTCATACATTTATACACAGAAGTCAATGAACCATGTAAGAAAGAATGAAGATCACAGAAAAAATCATCAACTTGGCTATATGTGTGTGTGCGCGCGCATATATATACGGATACAGCCTATGAAACTAACCAATTGTAACAGAAACAAAAGTATTGAAGACAAAACAAAATCCCCATTAAGAGAATATTTCAATGCATCAAAACAAGTCATTGGATCATGTAGAACAAATGGAAACATGTAACAAAGAAAGTTCAAACCTGATATGTATCGAGGTGTAAAGAGTTGTGGGAATTCAATTCATTGTATTTAATTAAGGGTCGACTTTTGTTATTTGTGAAAGGGAAAATGGCAATGGGATTTCGGTCTTGGAGATCAGCATTTGCAGGGTAAACAAAGAAAAGGCAAGAGAAGAGGAATGGGTCAGGTAGTTTCTATGGTAGAGAAAAGTGGAGTGTGACTTTTTTTAAGATCTGCATTAACTACTGTTTATAGTAAATATTATTTATTGCATGTTCATGCAGTTTGACTATCGGAAGTAAATGTGATTTACCAATATTATCTCTTAAAAGACGAGAAGAAACGAATCAAAAGCAAAAGAAATCTCAAAAAAATTGGGAAAAGCAACTTTTTTGGATGATAATTATTTCCCAATCAACCCAACAATCTGACTTCAAAAAAAAAAGAATAACCTTTACTTTAAATATCTATGCTTTTAATAGAAAATTAGTCCAAACTCGTAGTATAAATTTTGTTTGATGGTGATCTGTTTAATAAAAACTCGATTTTTCATGATCAAATTTGATTAAAATTTATATCATATATATTTTTCCTTCCCCCTTTTGTTTTACGTGTGTACAAATTGAACATAAATGTTTTACATTTCATGCACCCGAAAAACTAGCTAGAAAAATGTAGCGAACATTGGAAAAACATCTTCTGCAAATCTGTGCAGATCTGTTCTCACTCTAGACAGCTACCGACTCGAGCAAACTCGGCAATCAATTTTATGACATGGTGAGGCTTCTCAACATGAGGAAGATGACCCGTATCTGATACTTGTTGCATGCTTGCTTTCGGAAGCTCGAAAAGCAGTCTCTTTAACATGTCAAGAAACAAAATTCCCAAGTTAATAGTTAAACCATACGTTTTCAGGATTGTTTCTTGATAATGAAGGTATCTGCATAAACATGTTCGTATCGACTTCGTTGTGAGTATTAAGAACAAGCAATTAGAGAATTTGTGTTCCATAAGTAGCTCTTGTTGGTAATTATCTGATAGTTCGATCGGACAACTTGAAGTAGGATCTTGTTAACAACAGCTTGAAATGCGAAAAACTCACCATTGCCAGTTTTTTGCTCACTATCTTATCATTCTCGCCACAGATGATCAATGTTTTCTGCTTCACCTGCATAAAACAAAATTCATAAGTGTTAAAGATGTCCAGATTTCATACTTACGACAACCTAGTACTATACCTGAGATGTAATGAATAGCTTGTCGTTCAAAATAGCCAGACTAATGGAGGAAACTAACCAATTCCGTTCGGCCTAATATGCAACAAACATTAGAAGATACATGATTTCCAACCAAGCATTGCCTAGCAGTTCATCTTGTGTATTCCATTAGTATATACACATACAGAATCCAACTTAGTTCGAACTTTAGTCGGTTCATGCATTAGGAATGCAGACCGGTTACTGCTACAACGGAGTTTACTCATTAAGCACACATTTGAACCGCACAAATTTCTTCGACATACCTGCTTTATTTGGGAAACTACATTGTAGCCCCCACTGTCCATAAAATAAACAGTTGCATCTTTCCACCACGGCATGTGGCAATGTAGGCGACCGACCTATATCATCGAATGAAAAACGAGAACAGAGACTAGTTTATTCTACCTAATAAAGATTAGCAATATATAAACGCTGGTCATTATCAAAGCACACTGTAAGAAGTAGATGTACATGAAAACTCCAGTGAAAGTAGAGTTAAAAAGATGGGATGATGAACCCAAATCGGAGACAACGGGTAAGCACACCTCTATTCTAAACAGGAACTAATGGACAACAACAGAATGAAAGAGGTTAGGGAGGAAGCTTGTAAATTAGTGTACATCTATATGTTTCTAAGAACTAACCTGTCAAAGCAATGGAGAAGAACTAATGGATTTGCATCACTTTGTACTAGTGGTTGTACACAACTACTCATTATTGAACTTTCAGCTATCTGCAATTATAACAAGGAACACTATATTAGCTCCTATTTGGTAGATGTACATGAAAACTCCAGTGAAAGTAGAGTTAAAAAGATGGGATGATAAGACAACGGGTAAGCACACCTCTATTCTAAACAGGAACTAATGGACAACAACAGAATGAAAGAGGTTAGGGAGGAAGCTTGTAAATTAGTGTACATCTATATGTTTCTAAGAACTAACCTGTCAAAGCAATGGAGAAGAACTAATGGATTTGCATCACTTTGTACTAGTGGTTGTACACAACTACTCATTATTGAACTTTCAGCTATCTGCAATTATAACAAGGAACACTATATTAGCTCCTATTTGGTAGATGTACATGAAAACTCCAGTGAAAGTAGAGTTAAAAAGATGGGATGATAAGACAACGGGTAAGCACACCTCTATTCTAAACAGGAACTAATGGACAACAACAGAATGAAAGAGGTTAGGGAGGAAGCTTGTAAATTAGTGTACATCTATATGTTTCTAAGAACTAACCTGTCAAAGCAATGGAGAAGAACTAATGGATTTGCATCACTTTGTACTAGTGGTTGTACACAACTACTCATTATTGAACTTTCAGCTATCTGCAATTATAACAAGGAACACTATATTAGCTCCTATTTGGTAGATGTACATGAAAACTCCAGTGAAAGTAGAGTTAAAAAGATGGGATGATAAGACAACGGGTAAGCACACCTCTATTCTAAACAGGAACTAATGGACAACAACAGAATGAAAGAGGTTAGGGAGGAAGCTTGTAAATTAGTGTACATCTATATGTTTCTAAGAACTAACCTGTCAAAGCAATGGAGAAGAACTAATGGATTTGCATCACTTTGTACTAGTGGTTTTACACAACTACTCATTATTGAACTTTCAGCTATCTGCAATTATAACAAGGAACACTATATTAGCTCCTATTTGGGATTTGACAAATAAAAAAAAATAAGTCAACTCTACACCATATCTCCATGTACAAAGCACGTTAATACATGCTATGTTACACCCATTCTTATTTTTTTTAAATAACTATGTCAAAAATCTGCATGCTACATGTATTCAAACATTTGAAAGTGATGAGTACAATGGGTGAAATGAAGAAGGAAGAAAATGAAAGAAGAATAAACCTGAACTGGGAGTCTGTTGATCCTCCGAGCCAAATTTCTAGCAAAAGGGTCTTTGATTTTCCCAACCTCTTTGGGAAGAAAAGAAGGGAACCTGTTATCAGCGCCACCATCATCGACACCATAACGCCGCCACTTAATCTTTCACATTTCTTTGTAACTTTAGGTCCTCCTCCTAATGCTGGTGGCGGAAATGGCCCCAGCTTTAAAGAACCAGCGATCATACTTTCTTTTTTTCTTTCTATTCTTTCTTCCTAAACACCAAAATATCACCTTTACAGGAAAAACAAAAACAAATGGTTCAAAGCTTTAAAAACTAAACCTAGAAGAGAGAACCCTTAAAACAAAGACTTCCAGACAAGTACTTTAATGTGCTGATTGAAGTAATTGGCAAGGTGAAGCAGTTTTGGAAATAAATGAAGTAATACATTCTTTAAGGAAGTAGGCGGAAAAGCTGAGGTGTCTGTCAATGGTGAACTGGTACTTTGATAGGGATGAGGTCCCCTATCGCGTAACTTTCATTAATTTTTTTTCATGAAAATGGTAAAATGTAATGTAACCATATGGAGAAGTCGCATTAAAGTCAGTCCTAACTAATACACGTGGATGATAAAGTATTTTTTAATAATCTTATATAATATAATATTTATGTAGAATATTTTGAATGATAATGTACACATACATTATATACAAGATTCAAAAATACATTAATGAACAAATTATATATAGATTATTACACTAAAAATATAACCATTATTTAATTTATTGTCATGTGATAAGAAGAAAGGTTTTAGTTTGATTGACACCTAAAAAAAATGAAAGAATTAAGAATTACAGATAGTTTAAATATTATATAAATAATTATTAAAAAAAAGAAGAAAAAAACGAGACTATCATACGATAAAAAGGACAAAATTCGAATCCCAAAATAAAAATATACTAGAATTATCAACTATATATAGAGAAAATCGCCTCAGTGACTAAAAATACCTTATAATATACGATTTTAACCAACTTTTTTTGGATTTGTCAAAATGACCAATAAAATCGCAACGCGATATCAAAATCGCAACGCGATTTAGAAAATCGCAACGGTCAAAAGAAAATCGCAACGCGAGCTTCCAAGTTTGCAACGCGATTTAGAAGAAAATCGCAATGCGATTGATAGAATCGCAATGCGATTGATAGAATCGCAATGCGATTGAGAGAGTCGCAACGCGATTTAGAAGAAAAGCGCAATGCGACTGAGAGAATCGCAATGCGATTTATAAAATTGCAATGCGACTGAGAGAATCGCAACGTTGAAAATAAAAAAAACATTTGTTTCTCTAAAAAGATAGTATCCGCGCGGACGTGTCGAAGACACGTATGACCATGACCATGACCATGACCAAGACCAAGACCATGACCAAGACCAAGACCAAGACCAAGACCAAGACCAAGACCAAGACCAACCAAGACCACGACCACGACCACGACCACGACCACGACCACGACCACGACCACGACCACGACCCGACCCGAGACGAGACGGCGGCGGCGGCGGCGCGCGAGAGTCCCTCTTGTTCTCTTTCACTCAACAAGGAAATGCAAAATACAAGCCTTAAATATAATTCCCAATAGTGTTTCCAATACTATGTGGGATTGAGCATTACCAACACTTGTTCCCAATATCATTATTCTTCATAAGTTATCATCCATTACAATATGAATTATCGATAATAAATTAATTCATTTTAATAAGTATTTAAAATTATAACTTGATAAATACATGAAATAATTCTATTATTAAATAAAAAAATATATTTTTTATATTAAAATTATTGAGATAGATATTTACTATAAAAGTAAAAGATTTTTTTTTCACGTACAACCTCTATGTGAATTAGTTTCACAATAAGGTATCGGTTATGCATTGGATTCTTTCGTATTAGATGGTCTTTAATAAGATCATCATCATCATTCTTTTGTTCAACAATACCATATATTAATGAGGTATATTGGTTCATTAACACGAC